CTGATATAGTTTCTCCCTTTTTCACAGAAATTTCTTCTAGACTCTTTAATTAATTTCACATCTCATGATTCAGTCAGTGATTAGTTAATTCCTTGACTATAAGGACCCTGTCTGCCTCTACTCCAATACTGTTTTCTTTTGCATTAATGCCAGTGACTTGGCTCCAAGAGAAGCCCACTTTCACTGTCAGGGAGGGAGCAAAGTGGCACTTCAAGGGAGTGGCAGTGAAGAAAGATGGTTCTGGCACTTCAAGATACAAGTCTGTCATTTAGCTGAATAAGCCTAAGTAATATGTGTGTATTGTGTCTCTCTTGATTAACCCATTTCACTGATAAATTAGTAAATTCTTTTAATTTTTATCTTTTCAATGGAATCATATATTATATTCTCAAGCAAAGCGACTTAACAGGTAAAGTTTGAGAAGGACAATTGCCCTGGAAATTTAAATTTGGGAGTTGATATCTAATATATGAATCAAATGAATCTGTGATAGTTTGGAACTTGAATGTCCCTCAAAAGCCCATGTATTGAAGGTTTGGTCCTCAGCCCTACTGAAGAGATGGAACTTTCAGGAGGTCGGGCTTGGTGGAACAAAGTTAGGTCACTGGCGTATACTCTTAGAGGAGGTACTGACTCTGACTTCTCTTCTTCCTCTTCTTTTGCTTCTCCGGGACCATGACATAAGCAGCTTTCCTCAGCACATGGTTCCTGCCCTAATGTATTGCCTCAAAACAGGGTGAAGTTGATTAGAGACTGAAACTTCCAAGATGAAGCCAAAATAAGCCTTTCATCATGTGTGTGTGTTATTGAAGATTAAGCTCGAAGTCCACAGTCTTGTACATGTTACGTAAGTGTTTTAACACTGAGCTATACTCTCATCCCCATCCTCTCTTGAAGTGATTATTTCAGGTATTTAATTACAATGATAAAAAGCTAATAGAGCCGGGCTTATTCTTTATAATAAACCTCATCTTTTTTCACTTCAGCATAAATATATTCCAACCAATGTATATAATCAGAAGCTGTCACAATTTTCTATCCACACATTCCCTGGGATACTGGAACTTCTCTTTGCATAGTTCAGACACATAGTAGTCAATTTTCTGAATTCTGTGTAATGCACAATTTTGGTTTTACTGCAAATTGCAAAATTGCTCTTCAAAATGCAGTGTACTAGGCTGAAAGCAGTTCATGAAGGATTTCCTGTTTCTTCACATCGTTCCTTAAACTTTGTATTGCAGGTTTTTATATCTATTGGTCTGTGAGTAGGCTTCTCTCAGGGACCAGATTTCTGCTTTAACTGCTATCAAATATTGGCAAGGATGTGGAGATATTGGAACTTTGTTTACCCTCCTAGTGGGAATGTAAAATGATGCAAGCACCATAAAAACAAGTCTGGAGTTTTTCATAAAGTTAAACTTAGAACTACCATTTTAATTCAGCAACTGTACTCCTTGGTATCTATATCCAAAAAAAAAAAAAATCATTCTTGAGTGTCTATATTTTTTCTAATAGCCAAAATTAGAAACACCTTAAATGTCAACCAAACAAGTGGCTAAGCAAATTGTGCTAAAGCCATTCAGCAATAAAAAGGAATTCATTACTGATGCCTGATAACCTTAAAAACAACGAAAGACATGCTACTTGATTCCACTTATATGAAATATCCAGAGTAGGCAAATATTATTACAAGCCACGTATAGTTTTAATTTTTCAAGTAATCACATTTAAAAACTAAAATAGAAGCACATGAAAATAATTTTAATATTATATATTAATATATTTTAATTAACACAATAGTATCAAAATATTGTAAAACTAATGACATTTAGTATTTATTTTAAGTAGTCATTAGCAGTTTTTTAGTAAATGAACTGCCAAAGTAAGCATCATTTTTAGTTTTTATACTTAAAGAGTGCATCCAGTACTCACATCCGACTTCTATCACACATACTTCAGTGCTAGTGAAATTATTTCTTGTTCATTCTTATATTCCCAGGTGCCCAATTTGTAAGAATGCCTAATATGTGCTTGGTTAATGAATGAATGCCTAGGTAAACAATGAAGAAAAGAGCTAATGTTGACTGGTTACTATGTAAAGACAAATTGTGATAACATAAAAATGTTCACTTCTTTTGTGATCAGCAAATGGTTGGTTAGTATTCAAGAGCTACTTAAGTTATTAAGTAGCCTTGGGAAAGTTTCAGAGCTTCTTATACTGTTAATTTGATCATTTATGAAAGGAAGAGGGAATGGGCAAAGTAACTCTTAAGACTTGTTCTAAAATAATATAGTTATAAATAAATGTAGAGCATAAGAACAGTGGATGAAAGATAAGATGTTTTAGGAGGCAATCTTGTGCAGCAAAAAGATCGAAGTTTGGAATTAAACATACCTAGGTAGACTTTCCAACTAGTTATGTGATCATAAGCAATTCAGCCAAATTAAAATGGGGATGTTTATCTTGTGAGGCCTAAAAACAATAGCTATGAAGTTTCCTGACATATTACAAAAATAGAAGGTAGACTGTATTATTGGTTTGGGCAAGTACTTCATGCTACTTTTTTTCTTAAGATTTAACAAATATTTTAGATAAGGATAACCATATGCTAGAAATTATTTTAAATTACTCACTTCAAAGCACCCTTCTGATGGAGGTACCACTTTATTTTAGACCTGGGAAACTGAGGCACAGTGCTTAGACAACTTGTATAAGGCCATATGCAATAATTCTGATAGTGGTAACTTAGGAATTGAGTTCTAGATTCAGGACCCTTAATCACAGTGCTCTTCCCAAACTATTGATGATGTCATTAGAGAAAGCCAGAATTGGCTGTTCTAAAAAATATACTGGTACAATGTTACAGTTTGTGTCTCAATGTCACCCCAAAACCTCCTATGACTTTTTCAGAGTGGCCTGGATCTAGAGTGTGTGATGCTGAGATTAAGAGTATACGATTACTAAATCAGGTTTGGCATCACCCTAATCCTGGTGGCCTAGATAAAGGTCCCTTTCCTTCTTTGCACAATGGACTATTCTCATCTGTGACACTTGTCTACCACCTACACTGCCTTGCAGCTAGCTGATTATGGACTGAAACTTCTACAAACTATAAGCTAAATCAACCGTTCTTCCCTTAACGTGTGGTAGTATTTTGTCTCAGCAATGAGAAAAGTAACTAAGACAAGTGATTGAATGTTTTTGCTTAGAGAGAAACTCTAATCTTTGTACTTTCCACTCTGCAATAAGAGATTAGTGACTGCGTCAAATATGTTTTATTTCCTCAAGTAGCCATACCTTTGTAGACACTAACAATTTTTTTACAGATAGGTGTGGTTGGCTGCCTGAGGTTTTTCCAGCTTGGCGCTCTGATTTGCAATATGTCTTGCAGGAGATTTACCAGAGAAGATTAAGCCTACTGACCTTAGACAGCGTTCTCGAAAATTCATATACAAGGGAAGTAAATCTCTAGAAAGAGATAAAAAGAAGAAACAGCCAGGAAAAAGAAAGACTGATTCCTAGGTGTTAGGATTCTATTCAGTTACCACTCTGCCAAATTCAGTTCAAACCATGATTGTGCCACCCACAAAAGACTGGCAACACTGTGACAATCTAATCAGAGGAGGAAAGAAATTGACCACAGGGTGGTTTTTTTTTCTTTCCACAGTGATTGCAAAAGTGGTAACAGATATACCTGAAGAACTATTGCAAATACTGTGCTTTTTCCTCCCAAGACCTAAGAGCTAAATGACACCAGCAGTATCAATGATCAAGGTCTAGAAGAGACAGCGGAAAAGAGAAAGTCCATCAGAGCACACAGTACGTTAGAAGAGCCAGAAGCCTAGCAGCTGCATTTTGCTCCACTTAGAGTATGTCTGTAGAATGTCTGAGGGTCAGATTATTCACCTCTGAATGAAACTCACTTATTTCATAGATCTCTGAAACACCCAAAACAGATAAGAGTTTCCCCTTTTAGAGATAGGAACCTGTGTGTACTTCCTCAGACTAGCAATTGCTGTATCAGCGGAAATGTTAAAGACTTGCTGTTTGTGTTTTTACTAACAGTCTTTAAAAACAGTTATAAAGCACACTGATTCTGAGTTTCATAAATGGGTGCAGGGCAACGCAGATATAATCAAATAACTGCAGAGAATAACTGCACTAACTAGAGTGTAGCTCACTGGCACAAAAGTTCCCTGAAACTGTAAACATGCTATGACAATTAAAAATCTCTGATGCTTTCTAGATATCTGTGATGAGATCTCTACCGTAACTACAAAGAGAATTACATTCCCTTCAGTATTGCCAAACACTTTGAATGTACAACAGCTACTTTTAAATTGTCATGGAGCTGGTAAAGATAAGCACTATGAAACTGTCGTGGGGCTGGGGATTTAGCTCAGCAGCATAAGCACCTGCCTTGCAAGCAGGCAGTCATGAGTTTGATCCCTGGTACCGATAAAAAGTTAAAAAAAAAAAGAAAGCAACTGTCCTGTCATTGCATTCATGTTCTGGAAAATACTGCCACACGTGGCTTTATGTACCTGTTAAGTGATGTGCACTTTAAGACGCTGATTGAAACTGAACAAATTAATGACTAAATAAATACAAATATCATAATCTTTATCCTGGGGTACTTTTATAATCAAGAACTGTGCTTAGAGATTTTTGTTTTTGAGATGGCATCTTGCTATGTTTCATTCTCAAGCCTCAGGTTCCAACAACTGGGAATATAACTTTTAGTCATTGTGGCCAGCAAGGCCTCAAGTTCTTATTTTTTGGGGTGTGTATTATGCTTTATATCTAGATGCCCTCGCAAAATTTCATGTGATCACAGCATGATTTTTGGGAGCTGACTGGATCATGGGGGCATGACGGTCAATGGTTTATTCCACTGGTCAGTTTATAGCTAAGTGTAACCATGAGAGGTAAAGCCTAGTGGGCGGAGGTCCGTCACTAGTGGCATGACCTGAAAGGATATAAACCTCCCTCCCTCCTCCCTTCATCTCTGTTTCCAGCTTGCCACGCCATAAGCAGATTTTCCTCTGTCAGTTCTCTCCGCCATGCAGCCCTACCTCCGGAGCCAGTGGACTATGAACTGAAACCTCTACTAACTGTGAGCCAAAATAAGCCCTTCCTGCTTTAAGTTATGGGTGTCGGGTACTGTGTGCCTGCAAATGAGGCAAGTAACCAAGACAGTGGCATATAATTAAATCAGTTAGCAACGTTTTGCTTGATCCTGGCTACTTCATAACTCAGCTAACAGACTGAGTTTTAGGCTCACACTTCTATTTTGCCTAACACAGTAGATGTTTCATTCCCGAAGGTAAGCTACTGTATTAACTTTGTGAAATGGCTGTATGGCACTGCTCGGTGCTCTGAGGGCAAATTCTGTTTCCTGGGTTCAGAATTTAAGTATGCCACAACGTAGGTAGCTCAATAAGCTTTCGTATTTTCCAACTGGAGGCAGCACTAAATGCTTTTGTTCTACTAACAGAGCCAGGCACAGAAACAAGCTCCAATTCTTTAAAGAAGAATCACCCTGAGCCAGCCAGGCCCATCCTTAAAATTTCTAACCAGTATCTGCAATTCACCCTGCCAGAAGCTTACCGCATTTTTCTTTTCTCAAACCCTCCTTCCTCATTCAATGACTTGTAGATCTTTAGTGCTGGTTAAGTCTTGGCAACGACAGCATATTACCGGATAACTCTTAAGATTCTTATATTCTTTTTAAAATTGCGTTATTAAGTCCCTCGAGCGCACTTACCCTGACGGATACAGCACAGTGAATCTGCACACAGCCCTCTACAACCCCAGATCGAGGAAGAGAACGTTTCCACGTTCAGCCGAGATTCCTCGCGGTCCTGCCCCCATCCCTCACAGGTAACCATTATTCTAACTTCTCTCACCATCCTTAAGTTTTGGAGGCAGTGGGAAGTGGAACGATTTGGCTCTCACTGCCGTGGGGCCTGATAACACTCTGGGTCTGGTCTCCCAGAGAGATTCCGGGGTCTACCGAGCGAAGGGTCTGCCATCACCGACCCGGATCAAGCCTAGCAGTACGCTGAGGGTGCCTCGGAGTCCCTCCAAAACGCGCGGCGGGCTCCACGTCGGCAGCGCGAGAGACGACACAATGGCTGCCCCGCTGGCGCCCGCGCCGGCTTGACCGCCAAACCCGCGTCTCTCTAGTGGGCGCTCCGCTAGAGCCCGGGGCAGTCGGGCGTGGCGCTGGGCGCGACCCGGGGCACAAAAGCGGCCAGAGGTGGCGCTGCGGGCCCTAGGATGTGGGGCGCGCGCGCATTGGCTGAGCTTTCTCCGGCCGGCCGCCGCGGCGCCCACCTCCTGGCCCACTCTCCGCGCCCCTATTGGCCGTTCGCATCTCACTGGAGCTCGCTCCCGCCCCCCCTACTCCCTCCCCAATGGAAACTGGCCGTGGGGGGGTGGGGGGAGGCTGGAGCTGGGACGAGGGTGAGTGGTCCTCCCCGTGAGAGTGCGCAAACAGCCAATCGGGGGCGAATTTGGAAAGGGGGCGCCGCGCCAGCCAGTTACGTGCCAAGGAGCGGTCGGAGTTGATGACGCAAGCGCAGGCCACAGCCAATGGGCGAGCGGCTATCTGTCCGCTCTACAGCAGCCTGTCGGGGGCGGTGGAAACGCGAGTGAGGAGAGCCCAAAAGCGGCGGCGCGCAGCCTTCGCTGAGGTGCCAGGGAATTGTGAGGCCCGAACCTCTGTGTCTAGGTGAGCGGCAGGGGCGCCGCTCCACTAGTCCGCTAGTCTGCGGACTCTTCTGTGTCCCGCCGGGACAGTGGCTGCTGGAGCCCGGGGCAGGGCCGAGGTGGGGCTGTCGTCCCGCCCCCGCCCTCTTCCTCTGCCTCGCCCGCCCGCCGGGAGAGGGGGTGCTCTTCCCCGGCCCGGATGGTCCCTGCCACCGCCCTCCCGGGAGCTGGGACCGCCAGGGCGACGTAGTGAGGGGCCTAGCCCGGGGTCACAGAAGCCAGAGGCGCCGCCCGAGGTGGGAGGCCGCGTGGAGGTGGCGAAGGTGGGCCGAGTGGTTAATGGGGAGCAGATTCGCGTGCGGGAGAGAGGGTGGCGGCAAACGGAGGCCTGTGTGGTGCGCATTTAGGTGCTGGAGAGGAAGAGAGTGATGGGGAAGGTGATGCACAGAAGACTGTGTCCGGGAAGAAGGCGCAAGGCCGGGGAGTGTGTATTCTCGGAAGTAGGCATCTGTAGGGGTTGGGGGGAGTCTGCTGGAAGCCGGGGGAGAGCAAGCGTGGGATTTGAAGGTTAAGGCTCTGGACCAATGGGAACACGTGGATCTGGAGTGTAAGGCGCGCCTTCTGAAACCGGAAAGTGACTGGGGGCAGAGGTTTTTACTGTGGGGTGAGGTGGAGGCTCACTCTCACTGAAAGGCGACTTTTGGCCAGTTAGTACACACCTGGTGAGGGAGATAGTTTTATGTGTGCCAGGTGAAGGCTATGAATATTTTATGAATAGTTGAGCAAGAACAGAGTTGAGGGGAGCCCCAGATAGCCAGATTCATAGGTTCATTCACTCTGATGATGGGCCTATCCCTCTGATTTGTGGATTCCCACTACTAAGATTGATTCCTGCCTCCTCATCCTTCTTTCCACTCACGTGACAGTGCATTTAATTTTTTGGTCTCGACAGCACACAGACTTAGCCTCTCAGGAAAGAAACTGGCATAGTTTGATTTTGATTCGATGGAAATGAGCAATAGCTTACTTTACATTAAAACAGTAAAATATGTTTAAAGGCAACATCAGAAGATAGTCTTGGAAAATCTTCCCTACAGGGAAGTTCTCAATGATCTTATTGAGTATGTGTAATTCGGCATAAAAATGATGCAAGCTTTCTTACGGTGAAACAATTGATGTACAATTACAGTTTGTTATTCTACATGATCAACTTTTTTGATGCAGTGGAATTTTTCTCAGCCTTGAGAAGTTTTGTTAACTAAATGGTATCAAAGAACTTTTCACTCAGGAAGGAAAGAGTGGTCTTTGTGTACTACTGCTGCTGCCTTTCTGTTTGAAGTTTTTGGACTGTTCGTTTTTGGGGTGTGGGCAGAGGTTGCGGGGAGAGAAGAGGTGGTAGCAAAGGTGGCCCATTAGCACAGTACCAGTGGCAGATTTAAGTGATAAGGCTAATTAATGTTGAAGATAGGTTAAAAGGATTGTGAATATTATGTTCTCCAGGAAAAAATAAAACCAAAAAGAGAGTGGTTACTGTATAGGATGTTTACTTGTTTACTAGATGAACAAAACAAATAATGGATCATTCTTTGGGATGTAGAAATAATTTTTTGGTTTTTCGATGATCACATGTTACTTTTAGTGCAACAGAATATCTAAGTACTGAGGCCTTTTGGAGCAGATCCAGCTGGTGTGCAGATAATTAGGGAAGATTTCTGAAAAAGGTGAGTTTTGAGCCATTATTAGAACTAGGAGTTGGGTAATAGCTTATTGGAAGATAAGAATGACAGTCCAGTAGTTGCACGTGATATAAACAACTATGGATAAGACTCATAAATGAAAAATGGTTTGTAAAGAGAAATGAAGATTTGAGTGAACATTAGGGTTGCAACTTAGTTGGTATCAACTAAACATTTTGTTGCAACTTAGTTGGTAAATGATAAATCTTTGCGGTAGTTAGCAGAGTCAAGAATTAGATCAATTGATGGGTTGAAAGTAGGTAGTAAAATGCCCAAAATATTTTTGATAAGACAACGTAGTGAAAATAAGTTGGGTTATCAAGAAGTACATCTGATAGCCTTAACACAGTACTCAGAAATACTTTTGAGTCTTACACTGGACCATATTGCTAGTTACAGCAAAGTTTATTGGGGGTTGTCTTGTGCAAGACACTGTTTTGAATATCTCAGGTAGCGTCATCTTTTGAATGTACTTTATAGGTGAAGGCCTTGAGATTCAGGACATTTAACTGACCTAAACTTATATAGCTAGTAAGTGGTAGGTCAGGATTGGTAAAGTCAGCCAGTAAACCTTAATGGAGCATGTACTGGGCACTACACACTATGCTAAGTGCTGCATAATTGACAGAATCCAAAGGTCAGGCCTGAGCAAGAGATTGTTAAAGGACAGCCCGTGAAGGGGGAAAGATTACTTGAGGAGATGCCTGTGATACCAAGAAATAAGTTGTTTCAGTAAACCTATAACCAAACAATTTTTAAGGAAGAAGGAAAAGTTTAGTAACTACAAAGTTAACTGACTAGAAAGACCACTGATTGAGAAGAAATTATTGAGTTAGGGACAAAAGAAATATGGATGTAGTCTCGAAGTCTGGATAAAAGATACTAAGATATGGGTTAGTAATCATGCTTAATGACAGGTACTTACTACAAATTCATTCAATATGATCACATTATCATCAAATAATTCATAGGAAAGATGATAGTAGGGCCCTTTTAATGTTCTAATCATTGGTTAGATAGATTCTGAGTGATTTAAAAATACTTTTTATTAACACATTTCTAAAAGGAGCATTGTTTTAGAATTAGATGGTAAAAGTCATTTAACAGAAATGAGCTATTAGGGGCTATGTGATTCTGAACTTGGAGTGAGAGAAAGGATGGTCTCATTTTAGTCTCTACTCCAAATGAGCCACTTTATCAGGCTTGCTTTCATCTTGGAAATGTCTGGATTGTTAATTGGTAGGAACTGAAAAATGGTATTTGCTTAATCTGGGTAATCAGGTTACTAGAGCATCCTCAATTGAAGGGGTAAGTCTTAACTCACCTAACCATTTGTTTTCTAAGAGTTTAACCAATGAATTTGAGGTAAAAAGAAAGCAAATCATTTGTAGGGTTGAGTAATTTTAAAGTTTTTTGCTGGCCTTTATAGCCTTCTCTTCGTATGCATCGGTACTATGGTTCCTCTCTTCAGGAAGTTTTTAATGGGCTTAGAGTTTTGAAAGTTCAGTAAAACAGTATGAAAGTGCTGAATTTTGAACTGATCAACTTAAGCGTTTAGAAATTCATCACTTTTTTTTAAAGTCAGCAATTAAACTCAGGATTTTGTGCTTACCGGGCAGGTGCTTATGATGCTGAGCTGTATCCATGGCTTTACTTAGCAACTAATTATTCCCAAGTAGACTACTAAGGATTTGCCCTTGGATCAGTACAGATTGATTGTAGTCTCCTAAATATAAAGGAGGAGTCTTACAAATCAGTCAGTTCATTTATTTTGCAGTACTAGTTTATTTTGCCTTTCCCCTGAACCACACTCCCAGTCCTTTTTTCATTTTTTGTTTTGAGGCAGGGTCTGAGTACATAGCTAAAGTTGTGCAGGGTGGTCTTGAACTTGGGATCCTCTTCCCTTAACCTCTTAGAAGGTTGGAATTATAAGCATTACCACCACACATTTTGCCCATAGGGGTTATGGGAAAAAGTTAATGAAATTTCTGTTTTATGTAGACATTATATTTCTTAAATAATATTTAATTTTTATATAATTCTCTTGTGTGTGTCTCATCTTACAGATGAGGAGAATGAAGTTTAGAGAAGTTACTAATTTTCTGAAGGTTGGAGAGCCAGGTTGGCAGAAGTAGTTTTCAAACTTTCTTTTGTCTAATTCTAAAACTCTTGATCAAGTAATAAGGATTTGTTAATTCCTACACTTGAAAAAATACCACATAATCTGAGGTGTTTAGTAACTTTGTTACTTTAGAAGTGCCAAGTGTTGTGCCTTGGGACACTGCCTCTAAATAAATGATACTTATTTTAAGATGTGTAATGTGTAACAGGGTGCGTTATATAATATTTTCTCACTTTAGAGATGTACAAGGTCTGATTAAAATATCAATAAATAAAAAAATTTAAATTTTGTTTGAATAAAAGACATACCATAAAAATACTCCTCCTTACTCCAGACACACTTAACTGTGACATTCTTAGCACTCTGAAGGCAGTTCTGGATGTCCTCTTTCATGAGTGTCTTAGTTGCTTTGTCATGGATGCTTTGATGTTCTGAGTTGATTGAAAATACTTACTATTCATGGTCATTTTGACTTTAGAAAGAGCTAGAAACTGCTCAGTACCAGTTCTGGTGATTAAGATGGTTGAAGATACTTGAATTTTTTTTCGATTTGCGTTTTCGTTGGATCATACCTGTTACCAATATTCACCACATTTTTGATTCCATCCTTAAAAGATGTTCATAAACTTCTAGAACTCCTTCACAAGGTGGCAAGAATGATGGAATTAGTTTGTTCTAAGAAAGGGAGACTTTTGATGGCGATTAATGAACAATGTCTTTTAGCTATACTAATTTTTATTAAACGTTCACTATTTGAGTACACCTTGTATATTTCATATTTTAGTATTTTTTGAAATGGAGTTGTATTTTACAGTGTCAATTTCAAAATGTTTTTTAAATAAGTACTGTGTCTTAAAGTCATGTGTCTCATAACTGAGGAAGTATAGTAGATTCA